GGGGTCAGCCCAGCCAAGGAACTCACGTAGTTGGTGGCCCACCAGGACTTGAGGACTAGGAACCTCTGGAGCCGGGGCGCCACCTGCTGCTGGAAGTCCCTGGCCAGGCGCCCCATCTGCTCAAACCCCTCCTTGTCCATCAGCGGCTGCACGGACTCCAGATACTGCAGGCAAAGGGAGGGCCATCGGGGTCCACTCCCTGCACCCCCCCAGCCCCACCCGGACCCAGACAGTCCCTGGGCACCACTGGGCAGGGGCAGAAGCAGCAACTGGGCATTGCCTGCCCCCCCCCCCGCAGGAAGAGGCCAGAATCAGGGGGCCGCAGGCCGGTTCTGGCCCCCCCCCCCCCGGTCACTTAGGGATCCTCCCTGTCCCCCTCCATCTCTGCCCCTTCAGCCCCTGACCCACACTCAAGGCAGAGCCCCCTTGCCCCCCGCCGAGGCCCTCCCAGCGCAGGGCAGCTGATCCCTCCCCCGCCATGGGCTTGGGGAGGGGCCGGGGGGCAGCCCTTACCCTCTGGATGGTGTCCTCCACACGGGGCACGGGCAGTTTGGGCAAGGAGGTCTGGAAGCTGTAGAGCAGCGGGTGGCGCCCGGACATGACTTTCACCAGGGCCTGCGAGGGGAGGGCGGTCAGGTGGGGAGGGGAGGGGGCCCTGGGCTGCCCCACCAACGCTCTGGCCCCCAGCCCTCCCCTCCCCCCTCTTGTGGGAGTGGGGGGGCCCTCGGACCCCGGGGCCTCACCACCCAGGCTTTGGTGCTGAAGCTGGTCTTGCCGTGGGGCTCGAACATCCAGCCGTGGTAGGAGAGCAGCAGCTTCAACATCTGGCGGCGCATCCAGATGCCCAGGATCCAGACGCCCGTGGAGAAGAGCAGGGCGCTGAGCAGGGTCTGCTGGCGGAGGCTGAAGTAGCAGCTGCAGCTGGGGGGACACCGGCCGGGGAGAGAGTTTCTGGGGCGGGCAGGGCAGGCCAGTGGCTGGAGGGGGGGTCTTCCCCTCAGCAGAGGCTTGCAAACGGGGGGGGGGGGGGGATGGCCACCTGTCGGGGAGGGGGGAGGAGCATGCAATATGCAGGTGGGGTGGGCTTGATGACCTGGGCCCTGCTGTCCCAGGAAAGGAGGGGGAGGAGGTCCACGCTCAGAGGTCCAGAAGGGAGGAAGCCGGGTCCTTGAGGGAGGGGCAAGGCCCTGGGCTGCCTCTGGGAGTTCCCCTGCCCCCCTGGGCCCCCCACAACACCCCCCAAACGCTGCATGGAACTGTGGAGAGGGTGGGATGGCAGCTGC